AAATTGCATCCAACCCTAACACAGGCAGCTTTCCAGGGGGGTCTGTGCCCAGCAATACGCTAATGTGATGCCTTAAAGGTTCATTAATCTGAAGTAACAGCATACTTGCAATCATAAAGCACTTATGCAGCTCTTTTTGACACACAGAAGAGACTATGCTCTGAATCTTCATCAGGAACACATTAGTATACATCCAAGTGGATTTTAAGTAAGAATCTGAGGAGAAATTAATCAAGGTCAGTATTCCTAATTGTTAGAATATAACTAACGATTTTTCTTTTTTTTTCCCAAAGAACCAAAGTTACTGTGTTAAGTAACACCTGATAGCATTCCCTCATCTTTTATCTTATTGATGAGAAATACATCAACCAATTTAGCTAAAAAACTCATACCATACTGCCATTCATTATAAATTACTTCCATACACACACCACCACTTTGCATATAGAGACTCCACAAACAAAAGTGATGCTGTGCCCTTATGCATTATTGCATTTCTTGGAGGTGTCAAAATTAATTTTTTTTATAGTACCATAATGTATACACTCTTATTTTGAACCCTTCCATAAAAGCCCACACCGAAAACTTGAAATGAACAAATAGAAATAAAAAGCCCAAAAGAAAAAAAAACAATACTCATGAAATAAAACTACAAATTAATTTGATTTTAATTACTTAAATAGAATCCAACATGGACCAAAAAAAAAAAAAAAGTATCTTATTCATAAAAGTGTTAGTTAAGATTAAAAAAAAGGCTTCATAAGTGACATTTTCAGCTTCAGTAAATATCTCTAACAGAACAGATCTAATGAGACAGTGCCATTTTAGAACAGAGTTTGTAAAGCGCTGAACTAACTTTTAAAAATAAGATGTTTATAACCATTCACTGCCGGCAATTATTCCTTTAACATACCCAGTAATAATACACACCAGCTATGCCAAAGAAATTAATAAACTCATCTTTTAAGAGGGTAAGTATAAATATGTAAATATACACAATCTTTAAAGATGCAGACAGGTAGACATCACGTCTCAGTCCTATCATCAAGTTGCTAATTTCCCTAAAACACTGGAGCATACATCCTAAAATACCTAATATGTGTAATTGCTCCATATAGACCATTAAAATATTATACCTTATTATCCCTATCACAACATAATCAGCATGTAAAATCACACATTCTTTTCTGACGCGATAACTCTGGTTCTCTTGAGAGCACTACATCAATGCAGTTACTCCCTCCTGTATGCAATTAGAATTGTACTATAGAACAGGGTATGAGATATTTAAATTAAAATTTTAAACACTGAAAACCTAAACTTCCTATTTTGAAGCCCAAATGCAGATTTTGGAATCTAAATTTTAAGAACACTGCACTATTTTCTACTGTTTGGCCCAGTATACTTCTATAATTTCATTATGAAATTACTGCTACTGCAAGAAAACATTGTTTATGATGGTACTTAGATCAAATTATACATTAGTAAATATTAATATTTTCCTTTCAGTATGTTAATGAAACTTGCCAAACCCCCTTAACATGCTGTTTAAGAAATGTTCCTTCAAGAGCTGAAATTATTTGCTATTATACCAATTTGGAATTAATTACTCCAAATATAGCTGTGCAAAGTGAAGGAAATAAGCCATCTCTCTTAAAGCAATAAACTAAAATAGGAGAAACTGAGGGTGCAGTAACTAACTGTAAATCTAAATGCAGCTCACCCATTCATAAACAGAATACTGACTTCAGAGCTAGACAGTGAGGTCTGACTGAATTTTTTCATTGAGTTTGAAAAATGTCATTTACAAATATCATTATTATTATTGTTGTTGTTGTTAACTAAAAATCAACATACAGGAAATTAGATGGTTCATTTACCTGATTGTATCCCCTACTAAAGCAGGATGGGTAAACTAGTTTGCAACAGATATACGTTGGCATAGATTCACTTTATACAGACTAAAATTGACTGCTGAAGTTTAGAATTTAACCTAGTAACATTAAATAAATCTCTATGTTGAGCTTTTAAAAGCCATTTAGGTCATAAGCAAATCAAGCAGTGCTTCAGAGACCACTGCTTCAGCTCTGCCCTTTGCATTCAAACTGTTAAATCAGTCTTCAGCAGTTTATAAGATGACAAAGTAGTTTCCCACTAATTTGGATGACAAGACAGCTGTTCTGATTAGAGCTTTCTGGAACACATCTGATGAAAAGAAAATTTTTATTAAAAAACATTAACTTGTGGGATCTGGAAAAACGTGCATCATAGGCCAAAGTTATGACAGATGATTGCCTGCCTGTTAACCCAGCCTCTCTATATGCCAGGAAGGGTATCCTCTGAGCCTGGGCGGGCTGGAGAGCATCAGCTTTCAGGTTCCCACTTTGAATTATGCCTAGACCCCAAGACATGGCTACACTGCGGGTTAGACATGTTCCAAATCCAGCTTTGCCTGTCCTCATACTATTTCTGGGCAAGGATGCCCAAGCTCTGTGGCTCGCTGGCAAGGTTGCCAGCCCAGATGCCTGCACACATGAATTGGAAAGCTCAGGCCTGAGCAGGGTCACCACTAGATCTTCCAGGGTCACCACTAGATCTTCCAGACTGAGTCCTTCATCAGTAGGAACAGATGCTTTAAGCCTGAGGTACAGCCAAGCCAGATTGCCCGCAGTTTTCATGGAAGCCTGCTGAGCTGTAGGGCAGCCTGAACTTCCAAAGCACCAAGCAAGGACTTTCAGTTTCTGAGATGGATGGGAGGAATCTGCCCTGAGGTCGCAGGCCTTGGGAACCAGGCAGGCCCTGCTAATAATGGTGATGCTCACAAAAACAACAAACTGCAGCTCCTGGAGAATATGTTCCTTCAAAAACACCACGTCTGACATGTTTCTAACAACCTGACATTTCTGGAAAACTGAAAGCCTCAGTCTGTGGCCAGGTCTAGTCCTTATGTGCTGCTTCGCACAATGTACAGGCTCTCTTATGTCTCTTCCTTGTGTACTTCTCTGAAGACTTCTCTATGGCAACCCACAAGCACAAACCCACTCATCTGCACGCTGAACATGCTCTTCACTCCCTTGTCCAGGGCAAGATCGTTCAGATTGGAGCTCATGTTCCCCAGAAATAAGGACTTAGAGCTCATGTACAAGGACAAGAGCACAACTGCTCGCTCCTAAATGCCTCTGTGTATGAAGACAGACTAGGGTATAGACACAGACTATTACACTTGAGTTTGGAGATGCAAGATAAACTGGCTTGTTAGGGGGGAAATGCAAGGAACCAAGCTCATCCAGTGAGCTCCTCTGCTTCTGTGAACACCTGGATCAGTAGTTTTGTCACACACAGCTTCAAAGTTCTTCAGTCAGTAAATAAACCGCTATGCTATACTGTTAAGGATCTAACATGCCAATTAGCAGAAGATCATCTACTGTCCCTAAGATGCAGTTGCTTAACTTCCATTAAAGTCAGTGACGCTGACAAACATGTATGACAAGTAGATACAAGTCTACTAACTATCTAGCTATGCACAGCAAATGCAAACACACTGAACTTTATTGAATATGCTGGTAAGACACAGTAGTTCTTTCTGCTCTGGATAAAATGAAATATAACCAGAAATCAGAAACAGATTTGGAAAATAACTAGCATTGTCATACTTTTCTACAAATCTGAAAAATCAATCCTATACGTGCAACTCACTAATCATGTTTCTTATATCCAAAACAATCATATCTTTATATATAGCTACCTTCATAAAACACTACTTAAAAATTTAAGGAAACCATCTACTTTATTGTAAGTATAAAAATAAATACTCCACTAAGGAATGGAAGAAAAAATAAAGCACATTTAAATAATTTCATTAAATTCTAAGATGCCAAATCATCTGTTAGTGGTTTCTTTTGAGATGAAAAGAAATCAAAATATAGGACAGATGTTGGACAAACCACATTTGAGGTCTATCACACACTGGCATTTTTCAAATTATTTTGGCTCATCTATTAAATAAGGTGTATTTTGCTTGATTTTGGAAAGGGAAACATCAGGAAATATTTAAAGGCCAATTGCTGCCAATTAACTTTGATCAGTAAAAGTTGCATTTGAATCTTTTAGATTCTTTTGCCTGTCTGGAATAACACACTATTCTAAAATCTAGCAAAACAACAACTTGATGATTAATGTGTGTTGGCAGCCCCACCACAAGCTTGCTTAACAGTTGGATTTTAAATAAACAGCTGTCTTCATTACGATGGGAAAGAAATCTGACTGTTTTCATGTTTTCATGTTATTAAAATACAATCAGAAATTGCTTTTTTCCCTTCTAAGATGAAACAGCCAGGCATTATGGTGACAGTCTCTTTCAGCAGTTCAGATAGTTTTAGAACAATCTCACAAGCATCGCCAAACCATAGCCTACGTAGGCTGAAAAAGCCCTTGGCATGCCGACACTAGCTCCTCACCGCACACCACGGGGGAGTGGCACGCGCGGCAGAAAAACCCTAGCATGCAACAAATCTTCCCACTGGGGAAGAGAGAGGACCCCCAGTAACAGGCTACCAAGATGGACAGTGTATATAAGACTAAGGATTTCACTCAGGGTTAAGGTAATACTTGCCCACAGTGGGATGTGAGAAATCTGTACCCAGCCATTAACTGTTTATAGAAGTTGAAGTTTGATATTTAATGGCCTGTTCAGACTACTGAATTCTAATGTTTATAGACGCTTTTCTTGTATCCACTTCTAAAACTTGTCTACTGTGGTCATAAATACCAAGATCTGTGAGGACAAAGCTCTACCATTTAAACTACTGTAACCTTTGAATGCCAGTGCAGACACTTAATGTAGATACTATATATCCTAATGACTAAATTATACAGGTATTTTCTAAATGTTTCCATATTAAAACTGTGAAACCAAAAATATTTGTCAAACTGTCTAACAACACACAAAAAGAGATAAATATTAAATCACCTCTATGTTTTTTAAAAGAATGAACACTTACTTCTAAATCGTTAAAGAATAGATGCGTGTCCGCCAAATTGAAAATCATCTCTTCCATTCGGAGTCCAAGAGACACAGAAGTGGGTGGATCCTTAAAGAAGGAATTAAGTGAGTACACCATCAATACTGTGTCTAACACACATACCAGAATACAAACTGGAGGAACTGCTTTTCAAGAGAGGTTATTGGACATATTAAATGCAACATCCACTTCTTCAGTTTAACTTCAGTAACTCTCTAATCCTCTACTATAACACTTACCAGTAACACCCTAAAAATAAGACTTTAACTTCACTGATACCATGATTCTGGAGCAGGACTCCTGCGGTCACCCTTGTGCATCCCTGGCATGGGGTCTCTGCCTTCCGTGCAGAAAGGGCAGATCCATTGCACCTAAAACTTCTCTGGATTGTAAAACTGTTTACAAGTTTTTGTGATCAACCAGGGCCACGATAGTGCTATTGCTACTCAAAATAAACTCTCACTGGTCACAAGTGAAAGGATTCAGTCCTGGGAATACCTACTGACTTTAAAGTACATCACCGTTAAAGTTTTATTTGCAAATAGCAATTATATTCTAAACCACTCCCTGACCCTCCACAAAACCATGCTTTAATTATGCTTTCAGTTTGGCCCACCCATGCAGAGTGAACAAATCTATTGTTTGTTATTAATACGTAACATACTTTAACTTCTCTACAGAAATTACCATAACAACTTATTCCTCACTAAGTTAATAAACTAAAAAAGCATGTTCAGCATTGTGGTTACCAAATGCATTACAGATGTTTGTCTTGTTTTGATTTTTTTTTTGTTTTATATATTTTCAACCTGAAAAATCAAAAAGAAAGCCTAATATATACATTTGATACAGAGTTTCTCTTATATAATGCCAAGTATTTTCAAACACACAGAAGCTTGAGTTTGAAAGAACATGTTATATTATCTCATGACACCTTCTACTACCAGTGTTAGTTTGTTAGGAATTACATTTTAAATAGAACTGCAGAAGTGACAATCCATATTTTACTTAAAATAAGTTAATATTCTAAACCTGATGACAACTGAAAGTTAAAAACCAAGAGATGCAGTCTCTAGTTTCTTTTTCCACCTCTCAATCAAATTAATAGGTGTTTCAACATGATCTCTGAACTTTCAAACATTTTTCTGTAACTACTGGTTAAAAGGCAAAATGTGTCAGTAGCAAAGAGCTGGAAAAGAATGGTGATTTGGCAGCCTGTTTGCCTCCTGGAAATGCCAAAACCCAAGTAAAACTAACCAGAAAAAGAATTTTGGAAAGGAACATTTAGAAACAAAGCTATATAGAACACACAAAACTATTCTTGAACTCACATACATTAAGATTAAATAAGCTTTCTAGTATCAAAAAAATAACTCTTTTAAATGGGAAAGAAAAATGGCATCATGTTATTTTGATGAACTTTGCCCTTAAAAATAAGCCTTCTATTTAAACTGGCACTGCCAAAAAAAAGAATAGTTGGCTTCTTAATTCAAATGGAAAGACTTTAAAATATGAACAAAAGTATTCTGTCTCTCTGTTTTAATATTACTCTGTTTGTAGACCTTTATCTTCCTTTATTTTACTTTTGGAGGCATGTGAGGTGGAAAGCAGGTGATATTTTCTCTCTAGCTAAGCCTGAGGCTACTTTTCCCTTGACATTCCTGC